CTCGACAGCGCCCGGCAGTCACCTGCCCGTCATCCCAGCGGAGCTCCAACGTCACAGTCTGCACATTGCCACGAGCTCCTCCTCCATCTCCCTCCTCCTCCATCTCCCTCCTCCTCCTCCCGCCCTCTCGCCTCCAATTTCCTCACTTCTCAAGACTTCTGTCCCTGGCCACATCCACCGAGACCCGCCTCCAACCCTCCACCGCAGTCGCCCCCCTCCAGCCCCCATCCACCAACCCACCCCTCCACCCCCATGGCCAACAGATGCGCTTGACACGTGTCCCCCCAATTTACGCATGAATTAACAGCTCATTTGCACCTCAATGCAGCCAGCCCCGCACGGCTTTGGGTGATTGGACCTGACGACCTGGAGGTTTGAGAGCTCCCCTCCCCCCTCCCCACCAGGGCGTTTGTACAATGCAGACAGAGTCTAGCTTAATAAAGGATTTAAACACAACAGTGGCCGAACGTCAAATATATGTGTCTATATGTACAGGGTGACACCAGAAGTCAGAACACACATGTTTACTTACAATTATTTTAACTAGTTGGCATTGGAACATTTTAATTGTTTATTCTGGAAGTTAATATTCTATCCGTTTTCATTATTAATATCTATTTTTCTCCTTCATTTTGAGATGACATTTAAAAATGGAAAGAAAATTCTACCGAAGGCGAACGAGTTCAATTCGTTTTTTGTTGTTGTTACGTGTGCCAAAGAAGGCAGCTGTAACCTTCTTTTTAAAAGAAAGTCCCCAATTCATTTGAAAATAATAGTCATGCGTGCATCAACGTTAACGGAAGTCAATTTGAACATGTGTTAAAATAAATGAAACAACCTACTCGATTCGTTAAAAAAGAAGATAGATACAATAGCCCTACGTGTCCTGACCTTTGGGCCACCCTCTCTAAACCGTTGGGCGTTTCGCTGGGAGCCGGGTAAGCGGTGACTGGAATGTGTGCTCCGATTCACCCCACCGCCAGCGATGAAGCGAACCCAGGGCGCCGTCGAGTACAAGTCAAGACTCATTTCTCCTCCACTTACTTATTTCACCCTCTCGTTTGTATCGTTTTCTCGGTTTCCATCGCCTTGCTCGAGCGCCCGCGGCCTCAACGAAAAGGTTAAACCTGGCCGCGACGTGCGACAACCGGGGAGGTGCATTTGTAGCGCCGCGCAATTCTGAAGAATTTTGCTGCGTGCGGTGTGAATCGTCGGACGGTCGCGCCGTAATCGCAAGCGGCGGCGGCGGCGGCGGCAGCGGCGCCACGACCCGGAGCAGGCGTCGGAGTGACCGGAGCGGCGGCATGGCTGGAATTGACCAAAACATCCCCATGTAACGGCACCCCCGCCCCCCCCCCCCAACCTGAAAGCACAAGGCTTGAGACTCAAATGGCCACTATCGTCGTCGCCGCCGCTGTCGTCGTCATTGTCATCGTCATCATCATCGTTGTCGTCATCGTCGTCGTCATCGTCATTATTATCGTTGTGCAACTCCTGCAGGCCGTAGTGGCACCCACCACCCCACCCCGGCGCTCGCCACTCAATCGTGTTCACAACCAGGACAGAGCACTTTTTGATGGGGGGCCCCTGAGGCTGTTATGGGGGTTTTTATTAAGGGGGGGGGGGGGGTGGGGATGCCCCCTCCCTCTCTGTGCTATATTGAATGGCTTCCCTTGACTGTTTGACCACCACACACTGTCGACATTCACCTCGGTTATTTCAGTTTCGGTATTTTTGGGGGGGGAATTTTTTGTTCATGCGACGCCCCCAATTTTGTCGCGATAAATAAAAGTTAAAACGAACAAAACCATTTCAATTTCGGCACGTGGCCGGTAGCGGCACACACAGCGATGGTCGTGGCTGTGACGACTGAATCACCCAAAGGGATCTGTCGCACCTAGCGACTGGCACGGTCGGCTACGTACGGCATGAAAGACGTTCAGCATGCACATACATCTATCTATCTATCAGAACGCTGCAGCATTGCGTATCGACATTAATGTGGGGTTGGAGGGGAGGGGGTCGCAGCCCCCTCCCTGAAGCCACTCTGGCCGGGCCCTGGCTCCCTCCCGCAGCGACGTTCGGGTCCGACAAGGCCGTCGGACGGCTGTCAGCGGCGTGTACGAGCTGACACGGTCACCCCATAGGGCAGACACTGCCTGTAACCCTCGGAACCCGCGTATGGCATTTCACTTAAGGTCACTAAAGATGAACAACCCCTTGGTGGTTGTAGTGGTGGTGGTGCTGGTGCTGGTGATGGCAGTGGTCCTAATCACGTGGCATCTCTCAAAACGCCGGCTGATTTCCGCCATCGTCACTTTGAAGTTCTAATTCATTTCCCCGCTGACCTCACTCGGCTTTATTAGCGGACGGCCGAGGATTTCGGGATGCCCTGCTCACGGCTAACGTCAGTGACGAGCGATATTGGAACTCCTTCTGAACGCCTCAACCCCTCCATCCCCCCCCCCCGTCCCTCCACCCTGCCTCCCTTCACCAACCTGCGCTGACCAGCGTGGTGAAGTACGGATCAAACAACCCATAGGACTGACGCGGAACGGGGAGGCCTTCCTCCAGCACGCGGATTGACAGGGCAAAGGTGCAGTCCTGTGTTTGCTTGCTCACGCACCACTGCTGGCAAGAGAGCTCCTCTGGAGGGTATTTGGCCTACTCTTCCACGCCGGCCAGGCACCTTGGAAGAAGTGGGAGTACCCGCGCTTTACCACACCACACGCGGCCTGCCGATCGACCGCGGTGAACAGGCTTATACAACTGGTTAGACAGAGACTGTAGTGGAAAGGTGCGGAGGGGGGGATGGGAAGTGGGGGGACGAGGGGAATGAGGGGGGGGGGCAGGGAGGATTTAATTAACTTGTCCCCAATTCTTTCAACTGCCGCGCAACGGGAGAATGAATCAAACGGGCGAGCTCTGGATCGCCAGTCCGCTGAGCTGCTGACCGCCACACCGTTCCTGTGGCAGCGACGGTCGAGATTGTGGCATCGTGTGGCCAAGACGGAGAGAGGTCATCGAAGGGGGTCACTGCTGTCGAGGCCGCCATCGCTCCCTTCCTTCTGCCAGATCCGTCAGCCGTTGCGCAATCGACGACCTCGTCGCCCGTCGGCGCAGAGCGAAAATAATCTCCATATATGCAAAAGGCAAAGTTGTGATTATGTGTGTGTGTCTGTTCAAAATGTTTAGCGTACTTTCCGACATGCAACAAACTTGAAATTTGCCATGTGGGTACTTTCCAGACTGTACACCATGCACAATTACAAAAATACACTTAATTTTTTTTTGGGGGGGGGGGGGGAGCTCAATAATGCTCACCCCGAGCCCTCAATACTCTGATAGTGTGCTGTTTTTGAGTTGTACGCCTTTTGGCGTCTTCTGGTCCAACACCAATGGAGACTAGGCTCTAAGAAAAGCCGTCTCGGGTGTGGACCAATCAAATTCAAGGACAGTGCATATTATTATCAGAGTTGTCTCTTTTGTTTGCATTTTGACTGCTTGTGTTGTGGTTATTGCAAACATGATGCCTTGAATAAAGGTGTCAGTTTTTGTGCCAGTTAAAAGGGTAAAACCTATTCCCAATGCATTTATTTTTTGCACGGCAAGTGAGCTGTGACGTCACATCTGTCATGTGACCCGCGCATGCGGTAGCGTAACGCATTGTAGTGTAGTGGTTAGCGCGCTGCGCTACGAACCCGGCGACCCGAGTTCAATTCTCGCTCATGGCCACCACCGGTGACGATTATTTTAACCGGTCCTGGGCCTCCCCTAGATCGACTCAGCCTCAAAACGAGTAACTGGTGTGGTGTGTGAACATCGCCACTGGAGAGACAAAGGCGGCCGGGCGTGGTGGATCCAAGTCCCGGGCGAAGCCGAGTAGCAAAGCTAGTTTGTGAATAAAGCCCGAATCTAATGGCGCTAACGAGTTGCACAAAAAAAATAACAACCGGACTCCCATCACTTTAATTGTGGTTTCCGCACGCAGGTGAAACAGTGGTAATTGTGTGCGTTATGAATTCGGCGCGATTAAATTACCGGCGAAATCACATTTGAATAATGGATGAAAAGCTCTGCTGCTTCAGCAGAGCGTTATATGCGGGGCGATAATACAATTTCGTCCCAAAAGAAAAATCGCGCAACAGCGCGCATTAACGTTCGGCGGAAAAAGAATTACCAAAGTCTGTTTCGTGGCGAAATTGAGCCCGTGGGAATACAGGGAACGCCGTGAACAGGAGCCTACTTAAAAATGCAAATCTTTCTAAAGTGGACAAAAGACATCCCCCTTCTCCCATCGCGGAATCGTTTACAACGCGTTCCCCCTTTAAATAAATCCCGTGATTAAACTTATCCCGAAAGCAGCAGGGATCTCTCGTCACATCTGGAAAGCTAAGCGGCGTGAGTGGAGCCTGGCGAGCTCTCGGCGCATACACGAGCGGGGCTCTCGGAGGCGACCAGAGGGTGTTGGAGATCGGGAGGTGGTGGGGGGGCGGGAGGCGGCGACGATGATCACGATGACGACGATGACGACGATTGTGATGACAATCGTGGCGATGACGACGTTTACGGTGTAGAGCGACGATGCCAATTCTGGCGATGACGACGATAACAGTGACAACAATGGCGACGATTAGAATCACGACGACGATGTCGACAACTGCGACGACGATAATGACAACAATAATCACGTTGAAGACAATGATCGCGACGAGGACAATGATGACAATGAGGATGACGACGACGACGACAATGACAATCCAGACGAAGATAATGACAACTATAATGACGTTGAAGACTGCGCATGACGACGACGATAATAATGACAATGATAATGACGGCGATGATTACAGTGACGACAGCGACGATGATGACGACGGTCATTACGATGACGCCGTCATCCACGACCACGGGCAGCCGCAACGACCACGGCTGCGACGTGAACGCCCTCGGTGTGCGCGTGCGTTGGGGTCCACGCACCCACGGCGTCTCCCTCTCACCTCCGCAGCAGCAGCTTGGGGTGTCCCTTGCTCTCGAGGTTCTTGGCGATGAGGTCGGCGAGCAGCTGCTTGAGGACGTCCGTGGCGTAGCCCATGCGGCCCTGCATCGCGGCCATGACGAGCGACGCCAGGTTGCCGCGGTCGCGCATCGAGAAGCCGCGCTGCGCCTCCAGGGTGCGCACGAACACCAGCAGGAAGAGCTTGCAGCCCAGCAGCTGCTCGAAGAGCGCCAGGCCCTTCTCCACGCACTCCTGCCCGTGGCCCGCCACCTGGGTTGGCGCAGCGGTGGGCAACCGTGGCGCGGGCGACAGAACAGATGCTCGTGATGGTGATGATGATTGATGATGATGACGGGGTGGTGGGGGCTGTTGGTGGTGTGGTGCTGGTCGCATGTTTGCAGCACAGAGTGCTGCAAGTCCGGGGGTGCAGCTAGGGGCTGCAGTGATGCAGCATGTACAGGGTGTGCTGGGCGTGGAGCAGCAAGTGCAGCGCAGAGTGCAGCAGGGAATGCATCGGAGTGAATGTACAGCGCGGAGTGCAGCACGGGGGTGCGGCAGGGTTCGCGACAGGGCTTTCACGCAGCAGGATGTGCAGTAGAGCGTGGGCACCTCGAGTGGCCGAAGCACCGGGTGGTCGTCGATGCCGGGGAAGAGCACGCGAAGTGCGTACGTGCGGTATGCCAGGTGCGGGATCCCGGCGCCGTCCACGTCGCTCGTCAGCTCGTCCACGTCCGTCTGCAGCTCCGCAAACGCTGAGGTGGATGCACGCACGGTTAGCCTGTGGGTCCTGTGATCATCGACGGATCCTGCATGTGGTACGTGGGTTCTAAGTGATTACGTGCGGTCCTGGTTAGCCTGTGGGCTCTAATTGAGTGTATGCGTCTTATTTGAGTCTGTAGCCACCATGCAATCCTATGGGTCACATGTAAGCCTATATGAGTCCGAAATGTAGTCTATCGGTCCAATGTAAGTCTATGGGGCCTACATGTACACTATGGGTCCTATGGGTCCTATGATAGTCTATGGGTTTTCTGTGAGTTTGTGGGTCTTATGTTGGCCTACGAATCCCACGCTGCATAATTTGAGACCCAACTTAACATCCAGGCATAGATTCGCACGACTGAAGTTGTAATGGCAGGCAGTTGCGGTGGCGGAACAAATTTGACAAGAGCTCAGAAATGGGGCTTGTATCTGCAAAAGTTCAGGCCACGCGTGACTGAAATGTTAAATTACAAACACAGATGTAAAATTAACGCCGCGGAAACGCTGGGGGGGGGGGGGGAGGGGGGGGGGGCGGGTGTTACGTTTGTGTACGACGCGTAAAGCACATTGTTGCTGTTGAGGTGCCCGATGATTATAATTTTCGTAAAATTAGTTTATTGAACGGCGAAAATAAAGCCCCGTTCACAATTTCGGAATAAAGTATTTTCTCTAAGAAGAGAAAAGAAAAATAACTAAACCATGAAAACGGAGAAACGTCTCTGAAAAGGCACAAATTACCGCGCACGGATATGCGCGGGCGCGCGTTTATATTTAAGTGCTCAAGTGTCTATTTTTACATTGAGAAATAATGTTCCAGCGAATACTTACTTTTATCAAAATTATTATCGCTGAGTGAAAAGAAAGGCAATGACATTTCGGCTAAATTGCCTTCCTTATAATAACTTAAGGAATCAGGACCACTTCTTCCAAGGAGACGATTTGACAAAGGAGGGAGGGGAGGGGAGGGATATATAAAATGCATTTTAACAGTGCAGTATTTTGTATATTTTTTTTCAAGACAAAGAGACACTTAGAAAGAGCCGTTGAATGGAAGGCTAGCTCAAAAGATCTAGGCTGAGACGTTTTAATAGGAGGTGGCTGAGTGGTTCGGTGGGGTTTATAATGACCTTGTCAGAGAGAGACACGGAGCATGCGGAGCTGAGATCCTGAGTTTCAGCTGCGGCCTGTGATTAAACCGTGTTCTCAAGTGTAGTCAGTTGATGTTCTCAGCTGTAGTCAGGTGATGGTCTTAGCTTTAGTCAATGTATTGCCTTAGCTACAGTCAGGTGATGATCTTAGCTGTAGTCAGGTGATGGTCTTAGCTACAGTCAGGTGATGTTCTCAACCTGGACACCAATGATTGTATGAAAAAAACAGCGAATAAAAAAATAGTTCCTAATTTATCTCAGAAAACACACTTTGTTGTTGCTGTAAAAAATCCGGGTGAAAGTGTCACCCTGTCTGTAATCTGAGCGGAGGAGTGACAGCGATGATGATGATGATGATAATGATGGAGTGGCGAGGCCTTCATCCAGCAGTGGATTGCCCATAGCTGATGATGATGATGATGACGAGTTAATTTGGCTTATGCTAGCTTTGATAATGAAACATTTTAGTTGGACTGAAATTAAACAAATTGGACAGTTTTGACTTGCTGGATTAAATGTATTGAACACGGTATTAAATTACTCATGAAAGCCTCAGTCACTTAAGAGTCTCATGATTGTCGGATAAAAAAAATACACGAAAAACCCTGGCTCAAGGATTCAATCGAGAAAAAAGGTTCAAGGCCTGTGACCCATCCACATTCATCATCAGCCATGCTTCATCCACTGCTGGATGAAGTCTCTACCCCCCCCCCCCCACCTCACAGTATTCACGGTGCAACGGTCGTGGTAGCAAGATGTTAACTACCTCGCCCTGTACACAGCAGGCGGTCACGTGGATTTTTTCCCCTCCTTAGAGCAGCTTGGCTGCTCTAAATTTCCACGCGATAAGCCAATCCGTTGAGCTATGATTATTTGTGGCCAGATCGTTTCTGAAAAAGAAGCGAAAAGCTCAGTGGGCATTACATCGTAAATTTCTTCAAATAGTTTAGTGGAGTTTTTTTATCTAGCTCCTGCAACACGAGTTGATCTCGTAGCTTCATTTCCGCGGCGGGCGATGAATGGGAACTATTCACCCCCAACTTTGGCTGACGCTCCATTGCTATATTTATTTATTTAACCCCAGATAAGGCCCACTGAGCTGTACAGCTCTTTTTTCAGAAGCGACCAATTATAGCTCAACTAAGTGGCTCATCAGGTGGGAATTAATAGCAGCCAAATGCTCCGAACGCACGTTTCTAAATGTGGAGGGGAAAAACCGGAAGACCCAGAGAAAAATTCACGCGACCACAGGAAGAACATGCAAAGTCAAAATATACAAGCATCATGGTCGGGATCGAACCCAGGACTTCCTACATACCAGGCGAGGGATTAAATATCTTGCCACCGTGGCGCCCCAACTCCCTTGTCTTAACCACCTTGTCATCACCATCCCTTTCCCAACAGCCAAACTCGATGTCTATCTGAATGGCTCTCGGAACCCACGCCACTTCCTCTTTCTGCCTTCTCGGTGTAATTCCACAACGGGGCTCCCGAATGCGCTGCCCTTACAGCCACGCACAACCTTGAAGGGTTTGCATCTGAACGCAGACAGCTGGGTTATTATGAAAGGAAATATGAAAGCAAGACAGTTTGCTTTTTAAGACAGAGCCAGGAAAAAACGGCAGCACAAACAATGGGCCCTTTAATTCCTCTTCAATAACATAACAAAGATCCCTGGTGGCCCTGAAAATAATGCCGCGATAAAGAGACGTGATTAATGACGCCGCGAAGCCGAGCTTCAAATGCGCGGCTGGCCGTTGGCGGCTGGCGTGCGGTGGCTGCCGTGGTGCGCGTGGACCGTGAACTTTTGCGATGTCGGAGTCAAGACGCTCGATCAATTCCCACGCTCGCGTCGCGCAAACGGACACCGCACCGCCTCCTGGAGCGATCGATGCTGGCGCTGCCACCGCCGCCATCACTACCACCACCACTGCCAACACTGCCGCCACTACCACCAACACCGCCACCAGCACCGCAACTACCACTGCCGCCACCACCACCACCATCACCGCCACCACCATCGCCACCACTACCACCACCACCATCACCGCCACCACCGTCGCCACCACTACCACCGCCACCATCACCGCCACCACCATCGCCACCACTACCACCACCACCATCACCGCCACCACCGTCGCCACCACTACCACCACCACCATCACCGCCACCACCATCGCCACCACTACCACCACCACCATCACCGCCACCACCGTCGCCACCACTACCACCGCCACCATCACCGCCGCCACCGTCGCCACCACTACAGAAACTGGTTTAACGCGCAAAGTGAAAACGTGGAAATAAAGGCGCACTGACCGACGCGACGCGGCGCTTGATTGCTCACCAAATATTTTTCCGGGTCGCTGCGAGACTGGACTTGGTGGGCACGTGCCCAGCAGTAGCCACGACGGTCATTGTGAGATGTGTGCCGGACGTGCTATGCCGGACGAAATGTTCGACACGGTGACGTTCGGTTCTGATTTTTGTTGTTGTCGCCGGAGTCGTTATTCCCCCGGATTAAATCATTCGAAATTGCGCGAGGTCACTGAGCGATTGCATTGACAAAATAGGGGCTCTACAACTGCACGTTTTGCGCGGTTTGCAGAACCGCGATGGACTAATCAATGCGAAGGGCCGTGAGGCGTGTGCGTGTGCACAAAGCACCCTTGCCAAAAGAAGGCGATTTAAGAAAAAAAGTCAAGTGATTATAATAAAGGGGAAAATTTCAGGATCGCAGATGCCACCCGGTCCATATTCTGGGAGCAATGTCACCACGGCCGTTGCCGTATTGGGTGCGTTTGAAATTCGCGTCGTTATTTACACCCCGACTGCAAATGCATTTGCAAGCCCGGCGGGATATCTTCACGCCAGGCCGGACAGAATTTCTATTTCGTCCACGGGAAAAAGAAGAAAAAAGAAACACATTTTTTTTTTCCTTTTCGATAGCGAGCAATTTCAAATTATTCCTGGACTTCGGAAACATGAGGCTGGTTTATATATATATGTACATAATGTGTTATTTATTATTATTTTTTTTTCACGGCAACTGGTTGTAGCAGCTTGTCTCCTCCAATTCAGACTCGTGCGTTAATAATTTTTGCGCCAGTGCCTTAATCCTGCGATTATTATTGGACGCAAGCTGCTCAAATCCGTTTGTGTTGCGGCGTGAAAGTGCTCTCCGCTAAGATAAATGAACAGGGTAATCTCTTGTTTTTGTTTATTTGCACGTGTTGAGTTGTTTGCACTAAAAAGAAATGTTTTGATATTTTTGCACGTTTAGTTGTTTATAACAACAACAAAATCAATCCTTTCACGCGCGCACGCACGCACGCTTGCGCACGCAAAGTCAAAACAACGATCACCCACCTCCTCCCCGCCGTTAAGAAGGCTGTTGGGGTAAGTGCTGTTTGCGAGTATCTGTTAAGGCCGCATTGGGGCATTAGCAGGCGGTGGTGTGGCTAAAACCATGCCCAGAGACCTTTCATTAAGGCTGAATTGACCTTTTGGAGGCCCAGGACCAGTTCAGATTTTCGTGTTGGCTGTGAGCGGGAATTGGCACTCGGATTCGCCCGGTTTGGGGCGCCGTGGTGGCGAGATGTTAAATACCTCGCCAGGTATACAGGAGGTTGTGGGTTAGACCCCGACCCTGACTCCTTTACATTTGGAGTTTACGTGTTCTCCCCTTGGTCACGTGGATTTTTCTCCGGGTCCTCCGGTTTTCCCCTCGACATTTGGAAACATGCATTTCGAGTATATGGCTGCGATAAATTTCCACACGGTAAGCCTCTCCGTTGAGTGACCAGGTCGCGCAGTGGCTCTTACCTGGCAAAATAAAAAAAAATAGTTAGTGTAGTTTTTTTTTTTTATATTTGATAGTACCAGTGCGCTCAACACTGTGCCACCGCTCCCCATCCACACAAACACACACCAGCTAACGCACGAGCAAACACAAATTACACACCAACAACACACACAAAGAAATGCGTTTCAGGTGTTCGTGCGCCCCGCGACGGCCGTAGCGCATGATCGATCGAAGAAAATCAACGATATTTGATCGTCGACATCTGCCCGTAAATTGGTGTAGAGAATCGTGGCGAAAGAGCACGGAGGCTTTTTGAAGCTGACATCTCATTGTATACCAACAGGAGCGAGAATTACTGGCCACCGGCGGCAGAGCATCGCGTCGCGCTTTCTATCTCCTTATGTGTCACAACTCCTCGCGAGAGGCAACATTACTTGGTCCACCAATGGCGGTTAGAATGTTAGCAACGATCCACAGCCGCATGGTTATGAGTTCGACTCCAGCTCGAAGGTCAACAGCGTAATCTTCGCGTAGCCGTTACAGCGATTCGCATTTCTTTCTGGGTCAGACCGTCTGGTAGTTTAATTCCAGCGTTATATTTGTTTAGCCCTCCACCACCCGACGATATCGAATGCATGTGTGTTGAACTTCTTTTGCACCATATGTAGTCAACCGTGCTAATCGGAGGTGTGGGGGCAAGGACAACAAACCAAGCACAAAAAGCAGTTCGCGCTCGCAAAGACACTACAGTATTACACGTGGCCCGGGTGACGATCACAATTCTGACCGACGGAGCCACCCGCACGTCGGAACGATCAGCACTCCTCGCTACGGTATCCGACGTCGACGTTGGACTTTGCCGCGCCGCTCGCACTGCCGTGAGTGCCGCCTCGGGAGCGGGCACGGAAAGCGAGCGCTCGCTGCCCGAGGGCATAAGACCACCACGTGGCTTAACTCACCATCCCTTGGGTGTGAAGGTGGCTGACTCACTGGTGTAAATGTAGCATGGATGGATAGGTACTAAATTGTCAAGCAGAACTAAAACCTGCATCATTTCCTAAACTGCCCCACGTCGTCCTACCCCTCGGCTATACCTCCCCTCCACCCAGTCGATACCGATTCTTACCCACTCAGTGTAATCTCAGCTCCACTGCCCTGTGTCCCACATGGCCCCCGCTCCCCCCGCCCCCCCTGCTATCACCCCCCCCCCCCCATCTAACCTCCTACCCCCTCGGCTACAGCTCCTCCACGCCCGTCGCCGGCCCGCTCACCTTCTTTGCACTCGAGGGCGACGCGCGCCTCCAGGTTGTCCATCTGCGTCTGCAGCCGCTCCAGGTTGAGGTCACTCTCGCGCGACTTGCGCTTGTAGGCGATGAGCATCGCCACGACGACCAGCGAGAGCAGCCCGCCTCCCGTCGCCATGCCAACGATGGTGGGCAGCGTGAGCAACTTGTCCGGGTAGAGCTGCACGGTGATGGCGGCGAATTCCACGCCGCCCACGCATACCTAGCGCCGCACGAAGGTAGAGACAAAAGATCCCCCGCATGGCCTCAGGAGACCGTTGGGCACGAGTGCTGTTAGCTATAGTGCTCTTTAACAGAAGCGACCTGGTCACAAAACGGTAGCTTAACCAAGTGGCTAATTATCGTCACGTGGAAATTCATCGCAGCCAAATGCTCTGAACGCACGTCGATTCTAAATGTGGAGGGAAAGAAACCGGACGACCCGGAGAACAATCCATGCGACCACCGGGAGAACGTGCAAATTCCAACTGTACAGCAGGCGTCAGTTTCGGGATCGAACCCACGACCTCTTGTATGCGAGGCGAGGTAGTTAACACCTCGCCACTGCGGCGCCAATACACAACGCACGACACGCACAACGAGGACAGAAGGGAACACAACGTTTTAAACGAAACTACTTTCAAATAAAACAAAAAACACACGATAGATAAATAAACAAAAAACACACGATAGATTTGCTTCTTCAAAGTAAAGCATTAGCGGCATTACAGAAAAAAGGGCTTTGCAGCAACCCAAAGGAATTCCCGGAATAAAATAAATTATGTGTTTGTCAGAGAACAACAAAAACAATAATAATGGGAATAAAAACAAAAACGTAAACAAAATACTGTAAAGAGGAGATTGTTCAGCGGACTGGGATGTTTTGACAATTAAGAGCCATGTTTGTCAATTAATTGTGCTGGTGGAGAGTATTTTTTTAATGGCCAAATAAAATGTTTTTTCAGTAATTTCACTCTGAAATATGTTTTTTTCCCGTGTCGTGCCCATCCGTCCATTTGTTCCTCTGTATGTGCACTCATCCATCTCTCCATCAATTGTTGCCTGTCTGTCCATCTATCTATCCATCTGATCATCTGTCAATCTGCCCAATTATCCTTTTAGCTGTCTATATATCAGTCCATTCATCTGCCCGTCTATCTGCCCATCTGCTCACGTGTCTGTCAATTCTGCCATCCATCCATCCCATCCAACCGTTCATCTGTATCTCCTTACATCTGTCCATCCATCTATCTGTCCGTCTATCAGTCTGTCTGTCCAACCGTCTCTCCGTACATACACTCATCTCTCAATGAATGTGTCTAACTATCTGACCATCCGCTCACGTGTCTGTCAATTCTGCCATCCATCCATCTCTCCAACCATCCATCAGTTTATCCGTCTATGTGTCTGACAATCTTTCCGTTCGTCTCCACATCAGCATGTCCGTCGGTGTCGCCTTACAATTGCCACAATCAACCGTGTACATTTCCATCTTATCATTTCGAACATGTATTTGTTGACTTACAAGTCTTTCCAATTCCAATTAGATTGTGTTTAATTTACCATCACGCTACTCCGCCTTCATCTCTCCAGCCACCGCTTTCTTTCCACCTCCTCTCATTAAACATTTCCATTCGTCTGAGCATTTCGCTCGGCACTCGTGGTCGAAACCAAGCCACCGAGGTTGAAAGGCACAACCCTTTACAAAAGATACCAGGTGTTCCAGCACAAGCAGATCCAACGTCGGGAGCATTCCAAGTCATGGAATTAGCTTCGTTTGATGTTTTTTTCAGGGTTAATTAATTTGGACATCGAGCGAGCGATGAAAGGAAGCGCCCAAACCAACGGCGGAAAAAGAGACGAAAAGAAATAAAATTAGCCGACAGAAACTAATGAATATAAAAAAAACACAAAAAGGGGAACTATAATTTTGCTCTTTTGCTGCACGGCGTTTCTTTTCGTGCCGTCGGCGTGAACCGCGCATTCGTCCCGCCCGACGTCTGACGTTCCGCCCCACCTGCCTGCCTGCCTGCCTGCTGACCGCCAGCGTCTGGAGGAACTGGATGGAGTGGCTCTCACACCCTGGCACGGCGGTGCGGCCCCGGTCCGGGCCGGTGCCTGCTGGAGTTTTGCCGTAGGCCGGCTGTTGTGATTAATTTTCTTTGTCGCTCGTGCACACGTGGTGAAAGCCTTGCACTGTGCACCCATGGTGGAAGCCATCCATCGTCATCAACCATGGTCAATCCACTCCTGGATGAAGGCCCTCCCCAAGCCACTGCCACCCTTCTTACGATTCTCTGATGTCATTCCATTGCTATATCTCCGTTAGTTTGACGTTATCTTGACCCATTCCATTCATTGGCTGCCATTCAGTTATAAATACTTAATCAATGGCCATAATTATCATTATCGTCATCATCCATTCTAGCAATGTAACGTCTCCCAAGCCCACTTTTATTAACGGTTTTATTCACGCCATTACCCTGCGCATGATATCTCATCCGCATGTTCCTCTTAATATCTCTCAACGCGATTCCAAGCGTGCGTTTCCCCGTTTTCCTTTACACACTTTTAACTTTTTATATTCCATACTTTTACCCGGTTGATAAACGCTTAAAGGGGGTAAAGGCACAGCCCTGCAAATGCTCGTCTCACGTTACTGTTGGCGGAAGAAACTTACACCACAAGGGACTCGAGAGGGTATTTGGTCTGTGACTTACACGCTGATCGTACGTCTTGGAAGAGGTGGGAGCACCCCCTCACTTTACCCCACCTATCGACTAACTGTACTGGTACCCATGGACCGAGGTGGAGAGGATTTGAGAATCTTGCACCGTCGTTTAACAACTGCCACGCCGGGAGGTGGAATCTAAACTAAACTAAAATAAACTATTTTTTTTATATTTTACCAGGGTAAGGCCCAGTGGGCTATGTAGCTCTTTTGCAGAAGCGACCTGGCCACGAATGTGAGCTCGAACGAAGTGGCTTATCACCTAGAAATTTATAGCAGCCAAATACTCCAACAGCACGTAGATTCCAAAAGTGGACGGAAAAAACGGAGGATCCGGAGAAAAAAATCCACGTGACCACGGAGAGAGAGACATGAACAAACTTCAAATAAACAGGCGTCAGGGCTGGGCTCAAACCCACGACCTCCTGCAAACCAGGTGAGGTAGTTAACGTCTCGCCACCGCAGTGCGATGTTAACTACCTCGGCGACCTCTGGATCGGCAGTCCGGCGCGCTGCCCAACCGTTTGCACCGCGGGTCGCTAAGCGACAGACAGAGAGAGAGAGAGAGACAGATTCATGGGACGATTTGGTTCTCACCGCGACACTCGTGGGTTGGGGTGGGGGGCTTACCGTAAGCGTGTGCCGGCCGGTGAGGTTTGGGGGGCACTCGACGAGCAGCTGGGTCTCGGAGATCGCCACGGTGCACACGCTGCCCCCCACGAGCGCTGTGTAGTTGAGGCGGAGCCCCCCAGAAGAGGGCGGCGGCGTCAGGTTGCGGCCCTGTTTGATTGCGTTTTTTTTAGGGGAGACAGGAGTGTGATTGTTTTATTTTGTTGTTGTCTCTTTATTGTCGATCTGCCTCTGTGTGTGCCTTTGTCTTGTCTCTCTCAATTGTGTGCGTTTCTCTTGGGTGAGATAGCGTAAATATAAATGTGTTGCTCAACACATTCACACTGTCTTGATTCGAAGCTTTCGTGACTGCAAGAATTACTCTTAGTGTTGTTAAACACATTAATACAGGGTGCTTCAAAAAAATGTTCACACTTCAGAGAATTTGCAACAATACCACAAGTCACGTGACTCCTCCGTGCTCAGGAGACCACGTGGAGAAGATTCCAGGCACGTGCGTTGACAACGATGGCGAACAAGTGGGAGACTCTTTGACTTTTTGCAGCTATTAACATTACATTCGTTATCATGCTACAGTGTATTATCCGTTCTTTTTCTATTAAAAACGTTAGTCCCATGTAAGTGTTAAAACACATTTTAAGCACCCTGTATTTACGCAGTCTAACCCAACAAAAGACTTGATGTATATTGGTCACGAAAGCCTACCACGTGTTAAACTCTCTCATCTGTGTCGTTCATTCTGTTTCATCTGCCCGTCTCACTTATATGCTCATGATGTTTTATTTACTTTCATTTTCCTTCATCATTTTATTTCTCTCCCGTGCCTGCCTTATCTTTGCGTCTCTCTCAATCTCGCCTGCCTCTCTCTTCCGTCCGTCCCGTCTCATTCATTGTCCCGTCCGTCTGAATTGCCTTGCTCTCATCTGTACGTCTCCATCATTTGCTATTGTCTCTTATCAAGAAAGTGATTGTGACGAAGCGGGAAATCTAAATGATTATCTTAAATTAAGAGTAATGCATTCATTCAAAACGTCTCACCAACCAACATGTTCTCGGTGTGCATAAACACAGACATAGACCGTGGAGACAAGTGCCGTTAGCGAGCACCTATTTAGGCCGTTGCGGTGCACAAGGTGATATGGTGTGACCGGCGCCCTCTGACTCACGCCCACAGCGATGTCACTCACACACACACTCACACACACTCACACACACACACTCACACACACACTCACACACATTCACACACACACTCACACACACACTCACACACACTCACACACACACTCACACACACACTCACACACACTCACACACACACTCACACACACTCACACACACACTCACTCACACTCACACACAACAACAACCGCCATTCGCCACTAAGTGGCGGTGACGTCACCACGACGCTTGTGCCAGGCTATGTGCACCCTGAGGCCACGTGAAGTGTCGAACGCCCGCTGGCAGGAGGTCACGGGGCAGACCCAGGTGCCACGGGTCGACTGACTGAGACGACTGGCTGATGCACCACCTGTGCCCCTTACTGTGCCAACCTGCTGTGCTTTAGCCACCCGGCGCTCCGCTCGTTGTTCTGAGCGTCGGTCCTCCGCCCTCCGTTGTTGTTGGAGGGCGACTACCTCCAACTGCCCAGTAGCATCCTTCACGAGCCTCCTCCACAGAGGCCGATCTTGACACCGCTGGAACCAGTCATCGGCAAGTCCACTCAGCTCCACGTCCTCCTGTACCACATCACTCCATCTCTTCTCTAGCCCGTGCCGCGCCCGTTTAGCCCCCTCAATCCGGCCGAACAAAAGCTGTTTCGGCATGCGGTGGCTGGGCATGTGGGCTACATGACCCAGCCATCGCAGCCTTCCCCGCCGGAGGAGCTCACCGATGGGACCTTGCCCAGATCTTTCAAGGATTTTTGAGCTCCTCACACAATCCAGTCTGGTTAAACCCAGGATGGATCGTAGGCAGGCCAGCCCAAATGTTTCTAACCGACGAAGATGTTCCATTAGGGGGGTCCACGTTTCGCAAGCGTAGAGAAGGGAGGGAATGACCGTGGCCGAGAAGACCTGAAGCTTAGTGCGGAGCGACAGACCAGGTAGCTTCCACACAGCGTTACGCAACCGATGAAAATATATTGCCGCTCGACTGATTCGGAGTGAAACCTCTGCTGTTAAACTGGAGCCAGTCATAAGCACACTGCCCAGGTATGGGAAACTCTCCACTCTCTCCACAACTGCCCCATCACCGATTGGGAGTTGTGGGGGTGGAGTGTCCGATGGTACAAAATACCCAGGCAGGTGCTTAGTTTTGGTGGGGCTGATGGTAAGGCCCCATCTCTTAGTAGCACGCTCCAGTCTCAACACCTGCGTCTCCAACTCCTCCTCTGAATGAGCAGCTATTACCAAATCATCGGCATACATAACGTGGTTCAGCAATAGGGAGCCATCCCTTGACCGCACCCCGGCATCGATCAGCCTCCCATTATATCTGTACCATATGGAGATCCCCCCGGTACAGCTATTGAAGGCTTCATGAACTACGTGGTCAAAATAGATGTTAAATAATGTGGGAGCCAGAGGACATCCCTGTCGCACCCCAAGGTGTACAGGGAATGGCTCTGACTCCCGGCCACGTAGTTTTACCCGGGCCCGCTCACCATCATGAAGGTCCTTAATGATCGTGAGCAGAGGGTCAGGTACTCCAAAAGCACGAAGAACAACCCAGAGCCCAGGCCTACTGATGGTATCTTAGGCCTTTACCAGGTTAATAAAGCAGAGATGTAGGTCTTGCTGGAATTCCCTACACCTCTGCTGTAGCAGACGGACAGAAAATATGGCATCCGTGCAGGACCGCCCTTTCCTGAAACCGCATTGGGGCTCTGCAAACCTCTCCTCAGCGTGCCTGGCAAGGCGACGTTGAATAATCCTTGCCAGGACCTTTCCCGGCACACTGAGGAGTGAGATGCCCCTGTAGTTACAGTCTGTGCGGTCCCCCTTCTTAAAGAGGGGGACCACAAGGGCATCTTTCCAATCCTGCGGAACCTGTCCAGTGGTCCAGACTGTTGTTATGATGTCATATAGGGCAGTCTGTGCACAAACACCACCCTCCCTCAGCATTTCGCTTGGGAGATCATCTCTGCCCGCACACACACACTCACACACACACACAATCACACACACTCACTCACACACACTCACTCACACACTCACACACACACTCACACATACTCACATACACTCACACACTCACACACACACACTCACACACACTCACACACACACTCACACACACACTCACACACACTCACACACTCACACACACTCACACTCACTTACTCACACTCACACACACTCACACACACACTCACACATTCACACACACTCACACACTCACTCACACACACTCACACACACTCACACACACACTCACACACACTCACACGCACACTTACACACTCACACACACTCACACACTCACACACACACACTCTCACACACTCACACACACTCACACACACACTCACACACACTCACACAAACTCACACTCACTTACACACACTCACACTCACACACACTCACACACACACACTCACACACTCACACACACTCACACACACTCACACACACTCACATGCACACTCACACACTCACACACACTCACACACTCACACACACACTCACACACACTCTAACACACTCACACACACTCACACACACACTCACACACACTAACACACACTCACACACTCACACACACTCACACACACACTCATACACTCACACACACACTCACACACACAAAAGACAAAGATAAAGATCCCCCATATAGCCTTAACAGACTGTAGGGGCAAGTGCTGTTAGCGAGCACCTAATATCATCGTTTTTCTATGCTAACACATATATACACGTATATATGTGTATGTACGGGTTTATTTACTTGAATATTCATATGTTTTACCTAAATAAAAACAGAGCAAAGCTAACTTTTGCAGAATGTATGTACAGCAGTCCATCATTCCCTCGCTATTCACGAACTTGCTATCCGCGATTTTGGCTATCCGTGAATTGCACCTGGAACTCCACCCGACTACTGCATCGAGAGAGAAAGTGATGAGATACCGTGATGATGCGAGAAAGTGATTAAATACAGTGATGGGCAGCATCATCATAATGTAAGGTAAGTTAACGTGTAAACTATTAATACTTGAATATTTATTCGTATTAACTTCATGTCCATTATAAGCTATTTACATTTATTTGCGTTTCTATAATTTGCATGTATTTAATCACTTATTTACGTATTTACTTTTGGTATTTCATTACAAAGAGGTTTTCATAGGCCAATATCTTCATCCGCGAAAGTTGCTATTCACGAGCATCTCCAGAACGTATCCCTTGCGCATAACGAGGGAATCCTGTAATGCCAATACAACTATAAAGAGCACATTATAGTTTATATTAGCATTACAGAACACACCGCCCTATCACGTACGGCAGAGGCGCAGTCCACAGTTGTTGCTGTACCGATCGTCGCCCTGACAAGCCAGGTCGACGGCTCCTCTTCGACGCCCACGACGAAGAGATTTTTGCCCTCTCTTGCTGCCTTGGATCACAGGGAGGCAATCCACGTGCAGCGGCGGTAGCCACCGTGCCACGGCCCCGCCCGGCTGCCAGTGTTCGGTTTCGTGGGCCTTGCGTAATTGACATTAAAAGGCCGAACAATTCACCGCTTCTCGAGGTCCTATCACCACCCTCCCTCTCCTCCTTCCGCATTACAGATTCCCTTCCCCATCGTTATACCTCGCCCCGCCAATGCCACGCGGGACATGAAATATAGATGACCTCGCCGGCGCCGTCCAATTAGAGGGTTTTGGCCAGCTTCTGCCAAAATAGTGTTTTGGGTGTCTTTTCACTCCCCCCTACCCACCCACCTACGTTGTACGCGCATCTTTATAATACACACGCGGCCACACTCCACGCATTTACGTATTCACGCATCGTTGTCCGGAGCGGGCAGATCTACCGGTCACAGCGATCTGAAAGCTAGCCACGTAAGTTTGTGCAATCGAGGTTGAAAAATGATGGAACGCATGAACACGACTCAGACGGCGATAATTGGGATACGTCGGTCCGTTTTATCATTTACAATTGCCTAGCTCGTAATGCTAAGCCCTCGTTTCAAAATCGTACAATGGATAGGCACGCACTGCTGGGGAGGGAGAGGTGGGTGGGGGCTGGGTTCCCCTTCGGCATTTCATATCAACAGGTGAGTTGATAACGGGTGAGGGTCAGGTGAGTTTATTACTGGTGAGTGGTGAGGGTCAGGTGAGTTTATTACTGGTGAGTGGTGAGGGTCAGGTGAGTTTATTACTGGTGAGTGCTGAGGATCAGGTGAGATGATGAACGGTGAGTGGTGAGGGTCAGGTGAGTTTATTACTGGTGAGTGGTGAGGGTCAGGTGAGTTGATGAACCGTGAGTGGTGAGGGTCAGGTGAGTTTATTACTGGTAAGTGGTGAGGGTCAGGTGAGTTGATGAACGGTGAGTGGTGAGGGTCAGATGAGTTGATGAACGGTGAGGGTCAGGTGAGTTTATTACTGGTGAGTGGTGAGGGTCAGGTGAGTTGATGAACGGTGAGTGGTGAGGCTCAGGTGAGTTTATTACTGGTGAGTGGTGAGGGTCAGGTGAGTTGATCAACGGTGAGGGTCAGGTGAGTTTATTACTGGTGAGTGGTGAGGGTCAGGTGAGTTGATGAACGGTGAGTGGTGAGGGTCAGGTGAGTTGATGAACGGTGAGTGGTGAGACTCAGGTGAGTTGATTATCGGTGAGGCTCAGGTGAGTTGATGACCAGTGAGTGGCGAACATCATGCTCGCAGTGAATCTCTGAGGAGGGGGTAAGCTAAGGAAGAGGCACTTCTAAATCTTGACTGTAAACCCATATCTTGAGAACTGCGTTTTGCGTTTAGTTTACTGTCCTTTCCCTGCACCTCCGATCAGCGTGGTTGTCTACGTACGGTGCGAAAGAGGTTCAACGTACATACAAGCATTAGCAGCAAAAATAGCAGCAGCAGCAGCAGTAGTATCAGCAGTGGTAGGAAAAGCAGCAGCCGGAGTAACAGTAAGAGCAGCAGCAGCAGCGAGAGTCAAACAGCGGGAAGAGCGAGCGGGCACCAGTAGCAGCAGCAATATGAGCAGCAATGTGAGCAAGAGCAGCAGCAGCAGTATCAGCAGTAGTAGGCAGGGCAGGAGTAGCATTTAGGATCATCAGTAAAAGCAGCAGAAGCAGCAGTAGGAACAACAGCAGCAGGAGCAGTATAAGCACGAGCAGCCAGCAGCAGTATCAGCAGTAGTAGGAAGAGCAGCAGCAGCAGGAAGTAGCAGTAGGAGCATCAGTAAAACAAGAAGCAGTGGGAGCAGCAGTAGCAGTGAGAGTCGAGCGGGGTGGCGAGCGAGCGAGCGAGCGGGCACCTTGAGGATGATGGGCGTGCCGGGCTTGACGTGGACGGCGCCGGCGAGGGGCACGTCGAAGGCCGGGTCGGGGTAGTACAGGAAGCTGGAGGCGTTGACCACGAGCGCCGAGCGCACCGCGTCGAGCACGAAGCCGAACTCGTCGACTCGCGACGGGCCGAGACCCGGCTCAAGGCCGGCAGGACCCAGCGGCTCCGTCGCGATCCTCGGCGCCTTGCACACCATGCGCGTGTCGTTGTAGACGACGCACGTCTGCAAGAGGCGGCAGCGGGGACACGAGAACGGACGGACGGACGGACGCGCGTGCTTCATTAGTTTTATTTTTTCGTCGTCATCGTCGTTTTTTTTATCGACGCCGATTCAAATGTCCACCTCGCGCGAACGCCGAGACGTAATAAGCCGCCCAGCGCCTGCACACGAGCTGGTTTCATCGCTCCATCTCCCCGAGGGATGGTTTGTGGTCTAGCATTGCGTTCCATTCTGTGGCGGACACTCCGTTGCTGTGGCTGAACCAGCAAGCATCCTCATTCGTAGTCTCCTCGACGCGTCCTTCCCAAGGCCCGACTTACCTTACCTTAAGTCTCTCGCCCACTTGGCATTGTTGCTGCATTGGCATTGCTGCTACATTGACATTGTTGCTGCATTGGCATTGTTGCTGCATTGACACTCGTGCACCGCCCATGCTCCTGGTGCTGTTGATACACTTGGGCTACGCCCATCCCCAGACCTTTATAAACAGTTTGCCTTTAGAGGCTGACTCCTTTGCCTGATCACGACCGCTTGTGTTGCGATCGAAACGTCGTGATTTGTTTTATTTTATTTCTAACTACGTGACTTTACCGAAAGAACCAAAGAGTACCTTAAGTTTAAAATGATGCCATGACCCCCGCGCACGTTCTGTAACTCACACGGCCCTGCGTCCGTCTCACGATGTCATCCCCCAAGCGCGCGTCTCTCCGCGCCTCTGTGCGCACTCGTCGGCTGTCGTCCTATACTCTCCATTGATGACCACGTTACTTGAAGCAAATGCCATCGCCGCAGGCAGTAATTACGCACCGACATGAAAACAAAAATTAATATTGAAAACAAGCATGTGCGGGGATAAAACTTTAATTAGAATTAAACTTTTAAATGTTTTGTGTATGTATATATATGAAATTGAACACTTTAATGACGCCAAGCGCAACTGAGAGAGGCCGCTCAAGACGCACACCGCTGCCGCGCGAACAGCGGCAGAACGGGCGATTGTATAATTATCGAAAAGCCTGGCGAGTCCGGCTCGCATTGCCAAAACAAAGAGTCGCGTGAAAGTAAACACACAGCAACAACAACAACAAAGACCAAAAGTACCAACGCCGAAATGTCACGTTCGTCGCCAACGCCACACGCGGAGTGCGTCTCGCGGAATCTCGCTCGGGGGCGGTTGTTTGTTTATTTGTTTCGCTCGGGGGGGTTTTGTTTTTTGTTTGTCTGTCTCGCCCGCCGTGGTAACCCAGGAGCGACACTTTGAAGCGAACGCGGCGAGGGATAAAAACGTCAAGGCTGCGATGCTTGCGGTCCTCTGAAACTCGCAGATTACGCTAACGAAACGTGCGATACAACAACTTGGAACGCCTTGATCTCATTATATATATTCTACACGCATACCAAACCTGCAACGGAATATATACCACCGCAGGAAGGTGTCGTTTGCGTTTTCCGACGAGCAGCGTAATTCACCGAGTCGTTTTGTATGTGTGTATGTGTGCTGAACTTCTTTCGCACCGTACGTAGCCAACCGTGCTAATCGGAGGTTGTGTGTTCATGTTTTCCAAACGTGGGCCTGCCGGCGTCTTCACCGTCGAGTTTTGTTTAATTTTGCAAAGAGTTTACGTGAAACGATAAACGCGTTCGCGTCGTGGGGGGGGTGGGTGGGGGGGCGGAGGAGTACGGCGTTTGTAAATAATGACGCTCAAAATGTCTCCATAAACATAACCCCGAATGGAATTGGAACACGGGCAACCTCGCGAGCGACGCGGTACGAGCCGCAACGAATAGACATTCAGACGATACTCATTCAAAGCAAATGTGCTTGTCGGAAGACGCATCGCAGACAGCAGATAATGCAGTCGCGTGGTGGCGGCGGAGGAGAAGAGGCATGGATTTTGGGTCTAGACTTGATCGGGGAAACAGAGTCGGCCGCTCACGTGACAGCTGGGGAGGGGGATTTTGTCTGCGCGCGCGCACACACACAAAAAAAATCACACGAGCATCTATGAAATATGACAAGCCGGTAAACAAACGTAGACACCAACAAACAAACAACAATGAGGTCATCGCCACCATCCCTGCGATGGCTCGAGTGGTGCCGTCTCTGAAAGCAAGGGGTTATCGTGGCGAGTGAGGCAGGCAGACAGGCAGGCAGAGCAGCATATCAATCACAGCCAGAGCAGTTTGATCTTCTGTCCATCTCTCTCCGAGCCGGTCTTACTCACAGAGATGTCTAACCCCCCACCCCACACCCACCAACACCCCCACCGCTATCACCATAAATATGTCTGGAAAACTCCAGCGAAACACAGCTATCGTGAGACTTCAAATATATACACGGGCATCAATCGAGAAGATTGACAAGATAAAGAGGGGAATAGTGTTCCACCGCTCGGGCGGCGCTTCTTCGGCGCGCTCAACAACGGGGGGATGTGGCGCTCTTTATTTTATACTCTTTGGTTCTTTCGGTAAAGTCACGTAGGTAAAGAAAACAAATAAATAAATAAATTTAATCACGTCGCTTCGGACGCAACACAAGTGTCCGTCATCAGGTGGGACAACCACAGCAAAAAAAAAACAGTTTTATTTTGTCACGGCGAGCGCGCTGGACTTGCCATCCGTATGCGATCTCTCGGCGCGTAGGTGGAAACAACGACGCGAGTTTCTTGAACCTTCACCCCCACCACCATCACCGCCTCGGTCTGCCCGGCGGCACGTGTCAATGGGTTCGCCGCAGTGAGTCGCGCGCGCGCGTGTCGTGGTGGGGCAAATTGCGGGGAGTGGTGGCGCAGTGGTTCTCGCGCTGCGCTACGAACCTGGCGACCCGAGTTCCATTTCCGCGCTCACGACCAGCACCGGTGACGATTATTTGAACCGGTTCAAAGAGCGTTCCCTAGGTCGACCGAGCCTCAAATGAGTACCTGGTGCGGTGTGTAAACATCGCCACGAGGGAGACAAAGGCGGCTGGGCGTGGTGTCGGCCACACACCTCCTCGTGTGCCGTTCCGGCCTTCATGCGTGCTCGCCAACAGCACTTGTCCCAATAGTCTGCTCAGGCTATACGGGGGATCTTTGTGAATTGTGGGTATGCACGTTGAACTGCTTTCCCACCGTACATAGCCAAGCGTGTTAATCGTAGGTGCGGGGGGTTAAGGACAAGAGCAATTGCCACATCTGACAATACGTGTGGTCAGCGTGGAAGAGAAGGCCAAACGTCCTCGAGGGGGACTCTCTCTCGAGCGCCCCCCCCCCCCCCCCCCCCCATAGCTGAGGCTCTTCCACCAGCAGTCGTTGCAGCAAGACATTGCGGGCCGTAGCTGCACCTTTACCCCTTACAGCGGATGGATTATCTGAAATTCTAGAATGTAGGATCATATTTAAGATGATTCGGCAGATGACTTAAGCTTAATTACTAAGCAGTGGTGACTCGCTGATCTCCAAATCAATATATACAGCAGGCAATACAATGAACAAATAAACAAATATTGAACAAAACAATATTAAACGTTGTTGTAGTAATAGGTTTTTACCCTTTTATCTGGCACCAAAACTGACACCTTTATACAAGGGATCATGTTTGCAATAACCACAACACAAGCAGTCAAAATGCAAACAAAAAGACAACTCTGATAATATGCACTATCCTTGAATTTGATTGGTCCACACCCGAGACGGCTTTTCTTAGAGCCTAGTCTTCACTGGTGTTGGACCAGATGACGCCAAAAGGCGCTAAGAAAAGCCGTCTCTGGTGTGGACCAATCAATTTCAAGGACAGTGTATATCATTATCAGAGTTGTCTATTTTTGTTTGCATTTTGACTGCTTGTGTTGTGGTTATTGCAAACATGATCCCTTGTCACGCCATAAAAACAGTTTCTTCCCATCTGCTGCTGGCCTGTTAAACAAGGCCAAGGGCTAACACTGTTTTTAACATTTGATCTACATAACGACACCTTGCCGATATTAACTATGTTACCCTATTTGTATTTTTTATTTTTAAATTATATCTTAAAGCTATTTTATATTCGATATTTATTTAATTTTATATACTTCAGCCCCTTGGTGTTAGACTTTTAACCCTCATTATAGTAAGACTTGTTTAAAACTTATTTAAGATTTTAGATTCCTATATGTTGAATGTATGCACCATCCTGCCAAAGTAAATTCCGTGTCGGTGTGAACTTACATGGCGAATAAAACCCTTTCTGATTCTGATTCTGTATAAAGGTGTCAGTTTTGGTGCCAGATAAAAGGGTAAAAACCTATTATTATATCTTGCTACTGGCAAAGGAGGTCTCATAGTGAATATAAAACGTTTTTTTACACATCCCATTAGCCACACGGCCGTCTGGGAATGCATAATTTCAGCACAATTGACTCAACACCTCGGAATAGCACGTTTGGCTACGTGCAGTGCGAAATAAGTTCAACATACAAACAACACACAACACACATTCTGGACCAGTTTCAACATTTAATGTCTCTTTGGTAGAATGACTTAAGAAAATCAGATTTTCATCTTTGTAAGTAATAGTTTTGATTTTTGTCATGTTATTTTTGTTTATTACATTGTGTTTTAAAGTCCTGTCGATGCCACGTGACAGCGATTTTTCTTTCCCAGATCGTTAAAAATATTCCCATCTTGGCTTCATTTTCGAATTTTCTCAGAGAAGCCGACTATCTAGAGCGCACTCCTGGTTTAACACACTCCTGTGATCTCCTTTACGAATTCGAGTATTCTTTGGCTGCTATGAATTTCCTCGGCGATGCCAAAAGACGCCTTCTTGGCGTCCGATGGTTCGACTTCGTCAGAAATGTCACCGTTGCGTCAGAGAGCGGCCTCCCAGCGATCGGGAGCTCGGCTCGATGGAGACGGCCGTGTCACTTTTTTGGAAGCGTCGCCCCCCGTCTTTGATGCGCAAACTCCAGCAAAACCACGCACATCAGTCGGCGGTCGACGTTCGAAGGAGACCGCGACACTCAAAGGAATGGCGCGCGTCCCCGT